ATTGTCAACAATATATAAGCTTTTTTTCTATAAAAAAAACAATGCAATATACTGAAAATTATACTTTTATGAAACTATAAGTTAAAGTTTTCTATTATATTATAATTGATGAATAAATATTGATAAAATAAAGGTATCTTCTATCGTCTGACTCATTACATTATGGGATATGGCAATTGCTTAATTAAAACACGCGTGTAAACTGGAGTCATATTTCCTAATTTGTGTTAAGACCCGCCCTGATGACACTGAGGTCAATATACTCTCGTGACAATTTAAGTTTGCGTGTCGACTGAAAGGGACGAGAAAATTCATTTCCCTCTGTTTACCTCCTTTTTTTCTCCGTTCTAAATTTTTGTTTGCTAAAACATAAGGAAAGTGAAATTAATAATGTATATAATATAATCTTTTTTAAATATAATTTTTCTAAACGTCTGTACAAGTTGATACAAATCATTGATTATCTCACGTGTATATTTACATACATTAAAAAAACTGGGAGTTAACAAGCGAGAAGAGTCGCAGTATTCACACATTCTTGCTGTTGTTTATCTTTCTTTGGTGTCCTTACAACGCCACATGTGTCGAACCTAAATAACGAGCGCAATCGATCGACTATAATGAACGTAACGAAGCGGTTCACATATGAATTCACGCCAATGCGTGTGCATGAATTATGAATCTTTAGACCGGCACAAATAGGAAAGGTGTCGAGAAGAGATGAACTCTGATAAAAAGAGGTATAGATACGCATAATTATATCAACCATTTACGCATCCATTTTACGACGCAAAATATAGACCTGTTTACAAAAATAGGCAAATAATAATACATTTTTAATTACTAGCCAGAATTTTATAAAATTTGTAAAATGTATTTTTGCGATAGACACTTTTGAACAAGTTATGTCCAATTTTTTTGTATAAATAAATTTAAGAAAATTTATTGTTACACGCAGAAAAAACATTCTTTTTGCTAGGAATAATGATTGCTTAATTTATACCTTCTTTCTTTTAAGTAATGATTATTTTTAACAAAGAATACTTTTTTGATAAAATAATCTTAAATTATATTTATTTTAAATGTTATAAACTCTCACTAATTAGTATATTCAAAACAAGAATTGATTTTCTTTTGAAAAACGTAAAATTAATCGAAGAAGCGATTTATCATAATAATAAGTAAATCGAATTTGTTTTAATTTAATAATCTTGATGGAAATATTAAACTTATTAGAATGTAGAACACATTTTGAACAAATTTATAATGCTTTTAATAAACTATAATAGATTTGCGGATATATAAACTTTTGGAAAATTCGATCAAGTATAATTATCACTTGCGTAGAATATATATATTTTTTGTAATGCTTCATTTTGTGTTCTCGTTAGAAGAAGAAAATTAGAGAGAAGTAACTGCAGACACAACGCCTAATCAATGTGATTGTCACATCCTTTACGACAGGATATGGAGCAACAGTCAACTTTACGCGGTTATTTATCAGTTCGTTGTCCTATTTCACGCAGAATTCTGGAAAATTTATTTCTATCATGGTTTTTTTCTCTTCACGAAGAACTCGAAAGGCACGTGGAACGTACTGCAAAATACATATAACGCTACAACTGAATTAAAAATGATTGATTAACGTTTCTGTATTAAAACAGAAGTTTTCTTGAGAAATTAATGGATTGGCGCAGAGTTGTTTATAACAATTGTCGTATGACATCACGCGAGTTACGCGAGCGGATTTAATGAGAAAAGTGGAAAAATAAAAGAACGGATTAAATAAGAAAAAAAAGATTATCTCGATCAATAGTATCCATCGTGATAAAAAACAAAATAAGTTTTTATGACGCGTTTTTTTTTATGTTTTATACTGCTTGTATTTGCGCGAAGTTGGCATAATTCGCACGTAAACGTTTAAGTTTATAGTAAGGCGTTGACAATTATCAATGGTGCGATAAAGAGATAAGATAATTAAAGAATAGATTACACAAGAAGGGAACGGTCTAGCCTAATTGTACTTTTTCCTGACTTGACTCATTTAAAGACTTTTGTATTATTTAGTTACATTTATTCGAATTCAGAAATAATTTGCTCCTTTAAATCACTACGTATTGATTTCGTTTAATATCGTTGATCGCAAATACAAAAGCAAAATTGCGGGTACAATAATTCAAAGTGATAAAAAATGACAAACATATTATATTTAAAAAAATCATTGAACATTACGTGATTCTTTTAACTCAAAAAACAGACTGCGATTAAACGGAAAGCGAATCTAACGCAATTTGTAATAATTTAAAGTGAAGGATTAATTCTGAAAAAAAAAAAAAAACAGTATGATTTTTTGTATTCTATTATATTATCTCACAAACATTTTGTTTTATTTCATTTTTAAAAGAAACATTTTAGAACGTTTGAAATTACAAAACAATTGGATACTCTTAAGAACTCCCGATTTATTTCCGCGTTTATTACATGACATCATCTTGAAATAAATTTTACTTCCCGTTCCATGACAAACGGATGATGCATAAATTACTCACCGTGAGAATACCACGTCACGCAAGAAGAGAGCACGCGTTACACGGCGGTATCAAGAACATTTCACATATTCGTTGATTCGCAGCTAAGAGTCTTATAGTGACAGCGCGACGTCGCGATACGGAATACCGAGACGCAGAGGAAAGACTGATGGTGCGTGTCGCGCATACGCACGTCGCAACGGTTGCTCGAGGACTACTGAAATGCGCACATTTCTTACTGCCTGTGACAGCCGCAGGAAGAATCAGCTGACGTGGAGTACTACACGCAGCCTGAAACATCAATGCGCGTTGAAACATTATGCATCGAGATTAAATCGACTCACCTTCTTTAACGAAACTGTAACTGTAATTATAAAGAGATAAAAACAGAATAAATGAGAAGAGTCATTCTATTGTTATACTTTTACGGTTAAAATGAAACTTGTAAATTATACTGTTAATATATCGTTTCTATCAAGATTAATCTCGGTTTAACTGACTTTTCATCTTTTTCTAATTTTTAGAATTAAAAGGACAGGTAGAATAAATTGAATTGAAATTAAAGTCAATTTATATTAGTAAAAATGAGTATAAAGGAAAAAGAGCAAAGATGAAATTTAAGAGATAAGTCACACGTGCTAAGTAGATAAAAAAATGTACTATAGTCCTCTCTCTCTCTCTCATAATACTTAAAATATTAAATACATTAGATTTGAACAAAATATTACAGTAAATTTGACATCAACCCAGCAAACATCTGCAATTAAAAGTAACATAACATTATAATGTTATAATTTTTCACAATTAGCAATATAAATATAATACATGTATTATATATACGATCTAATAGTTATATTATATGTCAAATTATAACATTGATGTTATGTTATTTTTAATTGGTGTTTACTGGAAACTGCATTTTTATCAAGCTCAAGTTTTAATAATTTATGTACATTATAAGGATGAAAGACAAAGTTTGAAAATTTCTAGAAAAATCTTTGTTTTTATCTTTCTCTTGTTCCGAAGGAGATCTTTGGGCCCACTTTGATCAAATTCTGATCGACTCAATAATAGATTAACTTCCATTTCGATTTAAATGAACTTTTTATCTTCTTCTAATGCCGGTTTTTATCAATGTAGTTAACTTATCTCGGTTGCTCTCTCTCTCTCTCTCTTTCTTTATCTTTTTCGAATTTTTAGAAGAAGATGGAAAATTAGTTAAACGAAGGTAAAAATTAAACTACATGAAATATGGGCATAAGACTTATGTCCTATTTATCTTTTTCTAATTCTTTGAACTAGAAGATAAAGAGTAAATTAATTTGAGATTAAATACAAGTTAAACATTTACATTGATAAAAATGGGCTAGAATTGATGAAACAAAAATCTTTCTAATATGTAATTTATTATCCTTGTTCTCTTTTTATGTACTATATTAAAAAAGAATTTAATTCTGTTAATTAATTTAATATTCTTATACTTTTTATTCATTATTCAAGAGATATCTTGGGAACATCTTACACTGTAATCATTCTCGTCCGTGAAATGATGCGTAAAAAATGCAGTATTTGCATATATTGAACATAACATATTCTCCTACACTTGCATATAATGCTCCTGGATGACGCAAATACGGCTGAGTAACTTTGATTAACATTGCATTTACTTGGCATTTGTTTTAATTGATAATAATGTCGATTGTTCAATCGATTTGGCATAACGTTACGATTTTGGCGTGTCTTTAATATAAATAACACACAAATAATGTACTATTATTATTATTTATCATTATTACAATCATTTCACACACTGACTTGTCAATAAATAAATACAAATAAATCCAGGCCAATGACATTCTTGTATTTTCTTTCATAAAAAATACCTGATAAAATTTGAATCATTATCAGGTGTTAGTTATACAAGATGTGGATAACGAAATCTTGTACTAAAACATACCTAATAATGATTAAAATTTTATTAGGCCATTTTTATAAATCAAAGTACACAATGTTACTGTGACCAGAAATTTGGACCATTGTGTTTATTCTATTTTAAGCGCAAACATTTCTAGGAACTTCAAGCAACGCAAACAAACCTAAAGTATGTCCAGTGAGTTCAATTTTAAATTTCTACCGATCCTCGAGTCGTCCCGCCATTGGTCGGTTTGAAATCGAACACACGTTTCCAAAAACTACTGGGTATAGCAGTGAATCATTAATAAATTGGCAACACTGATTCTATTAGTTTTAACTTGAATATAAATATCGCCGACGCGCGCTAGAAAAATATAAGTTTCAAAAAGAAGTAAGAATTAAATTCACATTTTCCTATTCATCTTTCTCAAATAATATTATAATTATCGACGTGCATAAACTTTACGATTTTAGTTATTCGAAATAATTTCTTAAATTATATATTCTTTAATCAACTATAGATATCGTGATTACGCGCTATTTAAAGCAGAACAAGAGATGGAAAAATCCGCGAGTAGCCAGATGAATCCTGAGGACATTGAAAATCCGGGATCACACGTTAAATCTTACATCGAACAGGTGAGCCCAGTATCAAACCACGCATTGAAAATTTGGGATTGAAAATTGAAAGGCTGAAATTTGATCAGTCATAAAAGAAGTTAAAATTTCTTTGTCCTTATTGGTGAAATTTCAATTTTCGATCCTAATCTTTATATAGTAATCTGATTTCGGGATGAGACAAATGCGACGACGAGATGAAGAACTTATATCACAGCTTCGTATTATAAGGGACTTATATGTATAACAAACGTTGAGTGATTTTACATTTTTCACTTAACATATATATATATATATATATATATATGTTCAGATTTCGTTCCTTTTTGAAAATATTATTTATATAATAATTTATAAAAGCTGAGAAAATTGATATTTCAGTTTACTGCATTAAAAAAATTGGTAGAAAGATCAGACAGAGAAATACAGTACTGGAAGAATCAAAAATCGAAATTGCTCGAGAGTAATAGCAGCATCGGGATGAATTTCGATAAGCTGATGCAGAATGTGTCTTATATGGAGGATAAAATATCGGAGAATACAAGGATCTACATTACGAAGAAGCAGGAATTGAAGGACTTACAAATTGCAAGAACGAATATGTTGTACAAGCAATGGTAAAACTTTACAATTATCATTAAATTTTAGTCAATACCAAACAAAAAATTTATACGGTCGAAAAATGTATGAAAGAGGCTTCTGCAAAGGAAATTACTTTGATTATCTCATTTTAGGAATAACTGTTTGTTGGAAACAGGAAGATACGCGGATAGCTTTTGTCAATGGATGACGAACTACGTATGATTCTTAACGATTCTTAATATTAATTTCCAGGGTTGGGTAATAACTATAAACTAACTATATAATAGTAATAAGTTAAAAGTTAAAAAGTTAATAACTTTTAACTTAATTTAATTATTTTTAAACTTTAATTTATTATCATTTTTCTTTTTAAGTTTTCTCTCTAAACATTATTTTTTATAAAATCTTAAATATTAGAAAATTAGTTTAAAAGAACCTCAATGATTGTATGATCAATGCTCGTAATGTCTAAAAGATGACTGTACGGATTGGATCTGCATTTAAAGAACGTTATCAGTGTTATCGCGTCATGCTATTTTTAAAATTTTCTTCGCGCCTGATTGGATTAGTTCTTATATTCAGTGGAGCGTAGATCTCAGCGAAGAAAACTTTCAGTAGTTTAATTGTACAAAATAAATTACATTTTAAATTGTTAAACACATTTTGTTTTTTTTTATAATAAAATTATAATTAACGAATTTTTTTTATTTTTAAAGTCTAGGGACTATTTGACGAAGGAAATTAGTAGTCATCAAGAAGAATGCGAAAAGGTTCGCACAGAATTGGAGATTCTAAAACAAGAGGTGGAGAATATGAAAACAGAATGCAACGCAGATTACACTGAAGCTAACATGGACGATCATGACAACTTGTCGAATCTTAACAGTGCAATATCTGACATGAAGTAATAAAGTCTAAAATTTATAATCACATTTATTATTTGTATAAAATTTATTTACATAAAACGCTTTTATGCAGGTCGAGCAATAACAATTTAATAAAACATATTAAAATGGAAGAGGATGAATTGAATAAAATACAGAACAAAATAAAGCAATGCAAAGTCAAGCTTAACCGAAACTAAGTATCACTATAAGGACAAAGAAAACCACTAACACTAAAAACGAAGAAAAATTCTAATCTTTATTTCTTCTATTTATTAATTATTAGAATTAATTAAAATATTAAATATAAATATTAAAATATTAAATATTTTTAAAAAAATATAAATTCAATGTATAGTTATTATAAATAGATTAATTTACGTATTAATTTAGAAATATTATTTTAATTGTAAAATACATGTTCAGTAGTTTTTAAATAATTTAACAAATTGATATCAGTTAATTTATATTAATACATTTATTAATTGTAAAATATCTGTTAATTTTGTATCATATTGAATACAGAAAATATAAGAGTGCATATTTAATTCTCAATTTGAGTGCTATGATTTCTAAATTCAAGAACGTTCAAAACTTAATCAAACTTTTGTGCAAAGAAACGCTTCATTCTCTTTTTACTTTTCTATATTAACGAAAAAACAGATAATGCCGCAAAATCGGACACTCGCGTTCTATTGCAAAGCAGCCGTTATCGCATTCCCGCCAAATTTGCTAAGCGCTGAGAGCGCCAGTCAACAGCGCCATTAAAAAACGGTGGTCGCAATTTTGTAATCTGCCCTGCCGCCTCACCGAAAAGTCTGGAAAAGCCGGTTGTTACGTGCGAGATAATATGCAGCGTTGCTCATCGGTTTCATTGTTGATGCTGCTGTGTTGTTTCTCGTCAAAAAAGAAGTAACCGCTAAAGGAGTTGCTTTGCTAATCATCGACATGGAGCTCACCGACGACAATTTGGTAACGTTGAGCGAATATTTGAAGCAGACCCTTAGCCCGGATGTGAACGTCAGACGTCCAGGTAAGTATAACCTACAAACTCATAGGCTTTTACGATATTTCAAACGTTGTACGCTTTACGTTCATTAATATCCGATTTATATTTCAGCTGAAAAGTTTCTGGAATCGGTGGAAGTTAATCAGAACTACCCCTTACTACTGCTTCATTTAGTTGATAAGTCAGAGATTAACATTACAATTAGGGTTGCTGGTGCAGTTGCGTTTAAGAATTATGTTAAACGCAATTGGAAAGTGGTTGGTTTTACAGCATTTATTTACTTTATCGTCCTTATATATATATATATATATATATATATATATATATATATATATATATATATATAGTATGTTAATTTATAATTTGTTATTATAAACTCTGTTTTTTAGGAAGAGGATATAATGGATCGTATACACATTGAAGACAGAGTTTCTGTCAAGAAATTAATCGTTAATCTGATGTTACATTCGCCAGATTCAATACAAAAGCAGTTATCGGATGCGGTATCTATTATTGGAAAGTATGATTTTCCAAATAAATGGCCGGACTTGATTGATCAGATGGTAGAGAAGTTCAATACTGGTGATTTCCATGTGATCAATGGAGTCCTACATACCGCGCATTCCTTATTTAAGAGATATAGATATGAATTTAAAAGCGACAGCCTATGGACAGAAATAAAATTTGTATTAGACAAGTTCGCAAAGCCTTTAACGGAACTCTTTTTAGTAAGTATATTTAGTCAGTTTTGCGTGTATTAAAAATATATTTTTGAACGTAAATATTTCTAAATAAGATACTTTGCAGGCTACAATGAATTTAACACAAGTACATTCTAATAATATGGAAGCCTTGAAGGTTATATATAATTCGTTAGTTATATTATGTAAAGTTTTCTACTCTCTTAATTTCCAAGTGAGTATATATATGTATATGTTTTGTATTTGTGTAAAAAAGAATACAATTCAATAAATTATATTATCAATACAGGATCTACCAGAATTTTTTGAAGATCATATGAAAGAATGGATGGGAAACTTTCTTTCTTTGTTAGACGTTGACGTTCCTTCCTTGCAAACTACGGTAATTTATCTTTTTCAAAATTATATACATACTATTAATATATTTAAGTGTAAAATTAAAATCTTTTAAATCTGTTTAGGATGAAGAAGAAGCAGGTGTAATAGAGCAATTAAAGTCACAGGTGTGTGATAATGTTGGCCTATATGCCCAAAAATATGATGAGGAATTTCAACCTTACTTACGTCCATTTGTTACGGCAATTTGGAATTTACTTACATCCACAAGACAAGATCCTAAATATGATGCTGTGAGTTTAATATTGTTTGTCAGGATTTTTTTTTTTGAAATTAAAATATAAAAGTGTACCTAGACATTGATGTGTCATTACAGTTAGTGTCGAATGCATTACAATTCTTGACAACAGTAGCAGATCGAGCGCAATATAGATATTTGTTCGAAGATCCGGCAACTCTTAGCAATATCTGTGAAAAAGTCATTATTCCTAACATGGAATTTAGAGGTATCTATACCAGTGTAAATATGATACATTTGCTTTACTAAATTTCTTCACATTTTGCAGAATCAGACAATGAATTATTCGTGGATAATCCTGAAGAATATATTAGACGTGATATTGAAGGCAGTGATGTGGACACCAGGAGGCGCGCTGCTTGTGATTTAGTTAAAGTATTGTCTAAATACTTTGAAGCGAAAATTATGGATATTTTTGGAGCATATATACAGGTGAATATAGTACAAAAGACATTTAATAGTGTGTGATTTCATTTTTAACTTTAATTTATATGTTATGATTTATATCATATACATACATTTTAAAATTGCACAAATTTTAGGTAATGTTGCAAAAATATGCCGAAGACTCATTGAAACATTGGCGTAGCAAAGATGCTGCTATTTATCTCGTTACTAGTAGTGCAAGTAAAGGACAGACTCAGAAACATGGAGTTACTCAAAGTAGCGAGCTTGTTTCTATACCACAGTTTGCTGTACAACATATTGAACCTGAATTGGCAAAACCAGATGGTATAAAACACATGTTTTAAATTAATAATTTAATTTTTTTTAGCTTGACTCATTTTACTTTACTTTATTTGTAATTGGAAATCCTAATTGAATATTGGAAATCTAATATAATTGAATATAATCGGTTCTTAAAAACTTGTCAGTATACATATAGCTATACGATTTACTATAATGAATTATGATAATAACAAATTTCAGTGAATGAGTTTCCAGTACTTAAAGCGGATGGAATAAAATTTGTAATGATATTTAGATCGATATTACCTCATGAAATGGTAATAGGAAGTTTGCCGCAATTAATAAGACATTTAAGTGCCAACAGTATCGTCGTGCATACTTATGCTGCTTGCACGATTGAAAAGATATTTGCATTGCGAGGTGCTGATAATTTGACTATGTAAGAAACATAAAAGTGACATTTTTAAAATGATAATTTGCATAATTGAACACTGAAAATGCTTTAAAATTTTAGAGTTAAAGGGGTCAATATATCGCCGTTAGCAGCAGATTTATTGAAAGGACTTTTTGCGTGTATGAACATTTCGGGTTCCGAGGAAAATGAATATGTTATGAAGGCTATCATGAGGAGTTTCGGTATCTTACAAGAAGCTGTGGTGCCATTCCTAGCTGATTTACTTCCGGAACTCATCAAGAAACTCGCGATTGTATCTCGAAATCCAAGTCGGCCAAACTTCAATCATTATCTCTTCGAAACTTTAAGTTTATCCATCAAGTAAGTCACACACATACATTAACATATAATGATATTAAGATACTCGTGCAAAATAATGCTTTGCTTATTTCAAATTTTCTTTTTACCTAACATTTCATGATTTGCGTTTTTCATAAAATTTGCATTTTTTTTCTTGTAGAATTGTTTGCAAGACAAATCCTGAAGCAACAGGATCTTTCGAACAAGAGTTATTTCCCATTTTTCAAGGAATTTTGCAACAAGATATACCCGGTAAGCTATTCATAAGTACATACATGTCACAAATAGCAATTGCACACAAATCTATATTTACATTCTTTTTTGTTCCAGAGTTTATTCCGTACGTTTTTCAAATTCTTGCATTACTTTTGGAGCTACGACCCACTCAAGATATACCAGAACCATATATGGGTTTATTCCCGTGTCTATTATCACCTGTACTATTTGAACGTCAAGCCAATATCCATCCTCTGATTCGCTTGTTACAAGCATTCATTAGTCATGGTTCAAATCAGATTGTAGCACAGGATAAGACGAGTGCACTATTGGGAGTGTTCCAGAAGTTAATTGCGTCGAAAGCGAATGATCATGAAGGATTTTTACTAATACAAAGCATTATTGAACACTTTGAACCGTAAGAATTCTCGGGCAAAAGTTTTTTTATTTTATACTCTATTATTTCAAATTTATAGTAATTAATATAATTGTAATACTAATGTTGCAGGAGCATCTTGGAACCGTATATGAGACAAATTTTTGTGCTTTTCTTTCAAAGGCTCTCGACGTCAAAGACAACGAAGTTTGTGAAAGGTCTAATAGTATTTTTTGCATATTATGTTATTAGATATTCATCATCGAGCTTGGTTACGATTATCGACCAAATACAGCCACAGTAAGTTTTATAAATATATAAAGACATTTCTTTTAAGGTGCAAAAAAATAACACTAAACGTTTTATATTTAGAATGTTTGGAATGGTGGTGGAGCGCGTTTTTATAACCGATCTACAAAAAATAGCGGGCGAAGTAGAGCGAAAAGTGGTGGCTGTTGGGATTTCAAACTTGTTGATTGATTGTCCCGCAATGCTTCAGGCTCCATACAATACATACTATCCTCGCTTATTGGCTAAATTGGTCGAATTCTTTGAGTTGCCGCAAGATCAAAGCTTGCTGCCAGAAGACGATGCATTTCCAGAACTTGACGATGCGGTTGGCTACCAAGTTGGTTACAGCCAACTCATCTGTGCAAGAAATCCTCGGAAAGACCCATTACAAAGTATGAATATTCTTTCATGTTCAATTTGTCTTGCTTATTTTTTAATATATAAATTTAAATAGATTCTCGGATTCACTTCCTCTTATTTCTTGACTTGGAATTTTTCATTCAACTTTTCAATTAGATTAAGTATATCC